TATAAAAATATAAAAGAAATTATAAAATACATATTAAAATATAACAGATATACTATAAAAAATATACATTTATTAATAACTAGTGTTGGAACCGTGCGTTGCACGGTAATATGAATACTTTGGTTAATAATCCAAAGATTGTCTATATAAATATATGTTAGTTATTAATATAATCATCAACAAATATATTCAAATAATTCGAAAAAAAACTAATAAAATCTAATTAGTGAATCTTTTTAAAAAGATGATGATGCATCTACCGATTTTTATTAAAAAAAAAAAAATATGTGTACGCCTAAATCGCATGGTAACTTATTATACGTACAAAATATGTGGTAAATAGAAACTTAGTCTATAAATAATATGATAAGATATTAACCGATTATTAATACATATAAATTACTATAAGGAATAATTCATTGTTAAAATACGAATGATGTCCATAAATAACAAAAATAAATACTCCGTCCGTCTCAAAATAAGTATTCATGTTTCTATTTTAGTTTGTCCTAAAATAAATGTTCACTTTCAAACAGTAATGTCTACTTTTCAACTCTAGTCTTAATTATGAGATAGAGAATTCATTAATCTCTTAATTATGAATGATAAAATTGTTATTTAGTTAATGACAAATTACATGAAAAAGTAATGTATTTTAACTTGATTCGTATTTTGGATAACATATTTTAAAAACTTCCATTTTGATACTTAAGATGTAAAGTTTTAAACATTAATTTCAGATACCACATCACTCGTCACATCAATATGATAACCGATTAATGTTTCAACCGGTTGCCCAAGTACTTAAATTCTTAAAACTTTACATCTTAGATACCAAAATGAAAGTTTTGAAAGTACGTTACCAAAATAGAAATCAAGTTAAAATACGTTAATTTTTCATGCAATTTGCCCTTTAATTAATTAAAAAGTGTAATGTTTACACATTTATAAAATTGTGGATATGTATTTTGGGACTTAAACATGCATTAATACAAATTTCAAGTTACAAATCAATAAATAAATATTTTTAAATACTAATCGATAAATATTATTTACTATCATTAATATTCTAATTATTATATTGATGATGATAATATATATATATATATATATATTACATCGAGAGAGAGGTTGCATTTTGTAAGTTTGAACTCAATGTAAATGAATAAATATTGATCAATTAATATTACTTATCAATTTTAAATTATTGATAGAGAAAGGAAAAGATTGATATAATGCAAATTAAAAAAGTAAAATAATTTGATTTATATATATGAATGATTGTAATAGCTTTTCTAGATTTATATATTAAAAAGTTTATATATATATATATATATATATCTGTGTGTGTGTGTGTGTGTGTTTGAGGCGGGATGATAATCAAATGAGAACCACATAAATGTTATAAATTTGTAAGAATTGATATAAAAAATAATAATTTTTTGCATTATGTTTATCATCAAAAACTATGATTTAAGATATTATTTTACATATTCTTTTTCACTTTATGAAAAAATTAAATGTGAGTTCCTTTAATA